GTATGGGATCGGTGCGGTGCTGCAACAAGATGACGGCGATGGCCTGCGGCCACTCGAGTATTACAGCAAACGCATGCCCAACGTAAAGGTAGCCACTTCCACCTACATGCGCGAGCTCTACGCTTTGCGCATGGCGTTGGATCACTGGAAACATTACCTTTTGGGACGCCACTTCAAAGTGTTCTCAGATCATGAGACCTTGAAGTGGATCAAAATGCAGACTACTCTGTCCCCTACCTTACTCCCGTGGTTTCATGAGATTGACATCTTTGATTTTGAATTGAGACATAAAAAGGGTTGTTACAATTGAGTCGCTGATGCTTTGTCTCGCCACCCTGAGTACATGACTTGCCTTGTGAAATCCTACGACCTCCGGAAGAAATTGAAGGAGGACCTCGTAGAGCAGACAACCAAGGATCCGGAACTTAGTTCCATCCTTGAGCAGTTGTGGGCTGATCCTAGTAGTCAGCCTGATTTCCACGAATATGGAGGACTGATTTTTCGACGATACGGGAACCATGACCGTTTGTGTGTGCCCAACCACGASCCTCTCCGCAYGCACTTTCTGGACTTGGCTCATGGTCGGAGCGGACACTTCGGCATGGCAAAAACGTACGCTAACCTGCTGAGACAGTTTGATTGGCCTGGCATGAAAGGGACWGCTGAGAAATTTATAGCTGAATGTCAAGTTTGTCAACGAATCAAACCATGGAGACAAAAGCCCATGGGGCTACTCACACCCCTACCCATTCCTGATGGTCCYGGGGAGTCTGTCTCCATCGATTTCACTGACATGGGTAAGGTAAGCAAGAATGGATTTTCACAAGTCATGGTKATTGTTGACCGATTTTCAAAGTTTCTTAATCTGATCCCTCTACYGCCGCACGCCCCAACAGATMTAGTGATTCGCGAATTCCAGCAGAAATACCTGCTGCAATTYGGAACCCCGAAGACTCTTGTGAGCGATCGGGACCCGCGTTTCATTAGCGCTGAATGGAAGGAGTTCACGTCCCACCTAGGAATCAAACTRTGCATGASATCTGGCCGACACCCCGAAGCCAACGGTTTGGCTGAGGAGATCAACCAGACTGTATTCCAACTACTCCGTGCTCTGATCATTCCTGATCAGGAAACATGGGATGAGGAACTGTATTCTGTCAAGGGGTTGTATAACAACTCCGTTCACTCTGCCACCGCCACGACGCGCAACAGGCTGCACTACGGGTGGCAGATCCACAATCTGCTCTCCTACTTGTTCCTTGAGCAGCCAGCTGGTTTAACACCCGGCAGGCCCGGCTTCAGGGCTAAGTATGATCGCTTGCTCAAAGTTGCTGTTGCAGCTCTGACCAAGCGACAACATGCCATGATTCATCATGCGAACAAGAAGCGCAAACCATCGGAGCGGATTCTACTTGCTGGTGAGAGTTGACTTTGCTGCCCTAACCCTAACCTAAGTGGTTGAGGGCAACACTTTGGGTTAGGGTTGGATGGTTGAGGGAAGTGGGGCAGCATGGCTGAGGGAAGCTGCCCCCACCTGGTTAGGTCATGTGGGTTCAACATAGACCCTAACCAGGTTGTTTGAGAGTGAGATTAGGGTGGCGAGACATTTCGAGGAGACTTCATGCGGCAATTTGAGAGAGGCGATAGTGAGAGGCACTCACACCTGGAATCTGAGTCAAGGGAGACACTTGGCAACTTAAGGGCTGCCCTCAAGTAAGGCGAGCTTGAGGGTCAGCGGACATTCTGCATCAACGGACTACAAATTGCTACTTTGTTCTTCAGCATCGACGGGGGATCCGGCGTTGCAGTTGGGTGTTGGAGTCAGACCCTCCTAGGAGATAGGACACTAGTGTAGGGGTAGCGTTAGATGGGTCAGGAGGACCATATGAGAAGGGGGGTGAGTTCTCTTCATCTCGAAGCTCAAGGCCACTCAGGTAAGTGCCGTGCACCTACGGGATGCCCATGTATGTGTGTATGGTATTGATTGTCCTGCTGGGGTACTCTGTGTTTCTTTTCCTACTCCTATGTGGTCTTGATGGTGTGACTGGATGCATGTGATCTACCTACTCGCCTGATGGATGGAAAATGAAGTATCTTGTTATACATGCCGAGTCTTTCTACAATGCTTTGTCTTTTCATCACTGACGGTTGTAGTCTGTAGGTTTTGCCAGAAGTTGAAATTTCGTTTTTCAGTGCAGTTGAGACTGAACTAAGTTCAGGTGGGACTCTTCTTGGTTGGGACCTGGTTAAGACCTACGTGGGACCCTTGGGACCAAGTGGGACCCTTGGGACCCAGCGGAACGGGGCCCAAACAAGGAGAGCCTCTGGACCCAAATCGGTTAGGCATTGACCTCTTGTCTTCTTGGCTGGGATATGAGTTCATTCTTCTTGGATTAGGACACCCACTGCCGAGGGGATCTGGGCTTTGACGTTTCGCTTGCATCCTGACTGCACTGTCCGTGGCTTGACTCGCACCCTGTACACCACTCAATTCTCCATCGTTGCATTTGGTCACTCGTTGTCTGATTTGCTGTATGGACGCGGAGCTGGTCAGGCTGGACTCCAGAGGACCCAAATGCAGCCTGATCAGACTGGGGCGCTGGATCAGACCTCTCTTTGAGTTTGATTGTTTTTTTTCTGTTGTTCTCTGCTTCCAAATGAAATGTCGCTCCGGCTAGGAGTTCTACCTTCTTTTCTCTGAGCTTTATCTGTTTTTCTGAGTTCATTTTTGATGCCCGTGGAGACTCGCAATCAGAAAGAGGAAAGAGAGAGGAGGGAGAGAGAACAGGGAGAGAGGGAAAGTGATAGTCTGATGACCATACCACTCAGATCGCAGAAGTCTTTGCAAAACTGCAGACACTTGAGGATGATCTGACTGAGATGACCCTCAAGTACCGTGAACAAACAAAGGAGGTGGCGGATCTGCGACAAGCCCAAGTGGCCAACCCTCTTCCTCTACCTCCTGGAACTGAAGCTGCAATCGAAACTACCTCTGCCCCTCTTACTGTGCCTTCTTCTACATCTTCTTCGAGTGTGATGGCAACTCCTTCAGGACCTGCAGCAGGTGCAGATTCCACTGTTGTTGTAACAAGCAATGAGGCTGGAACCTCTGCAATTGCTGCATCCGCAAGACCGGAACCAGCTGYTGCTGGTCCCAGCCACGCCAACCCTTATGTGGACCTGAAGGCGGTTTAAATATCGTCCAAGTACGATGGCAAGGAAGACATCGAGTCCTGGATCGGCTCCATGAGGGCCTACTTTGAGATCCTGGGGACTCAAGCTGAGTTTCAAAAATGGGCTTCCTGAACTCCAAGCAACACGGGCTGGGTTTCAAAAATCCTTGCTAGTCATCATGGGTATGAATGTGGAGCCAGTCGTACGGGGCTTCCTAGAACTCCAAGCAACACGGGCTGGGTTTCAAAAATCTGCACTAGCCAAATGGCTAAGGACCACCCCAGTTGCCTCCCTCGAAGAACTCCTTATCTCAGAATACCAAGACCCACATGTTGCTGCTAAAGCAAGGATTCAACTGGATAAAGTAAAGCACAGCAAGTGGAATGGCTCCATGAAAAGCCTGCAGACCTATCTAAGCAAGTTGTTTGCCACTCCTGGTTTGGAATTGTCCACTCAATCTTGCCTGGAT